AATCTTATGTGATCAATTTACAGTGTCTGTCATGAAGTGGGAAAAAGGCACCCTTAGTGGATACCAAGTTGCTTAGAATTGTAAGGTTTAAACAAAACCTTGAGATTTTAATATGTACACATATTTCTTAACGCTATTTTATTGTTTCCTTGAATATGTGACTGTGAACAAGTGTATTGTCTACCTGCTACCTCCTGAAGGATAGACAAAGTTTATCGAGCATAAAACCAAAAGCAAAGACAATTCTACATGAATACCTACAGCTTAAGCCTATTACATCGATTGTCACAATCACTTACCTGAAATTAGTGACCCAAGAAGGCTGGGTTACATAACTGAGATGGTGTTTCTGGCCAAAGGCACAAACTTTGCTACGAAAGCATATTTGATGGCCCAGAGCTGCAGCTCTTGATCTGACATGCTTAGAAAATGAAAACTCAGAATTCCTTGGACACAGACACTTGTGCAATGTCATTGCAGTAGCCATTGCCAATTAGGATCCTGCAAGTAAAAATAATGCCGTATTGTAATTTGTAAACCATGCACCTAAAAGGATAAACATATATTACATTATCCATCAAGTTTCCAGTTCAGCTGTGCTAGTCCCAAAATACTGTTTCCATGGGAGCTAACTATTACCACTAATAACTTAATGAAGGCTGACAAACCTGCTATATGACAACATAAATTATCAAGATTTCAGCCAACATACCTAGAATCTTACTTCCCTAGCCGATGTTTACTTTATGTGCGACAAACTGTTAGCCCTTTAATCATGTGTTAGAACTAAGAAAAGGTAGAAACTTTGATACTGAATCAAACAAATATTAATTATTTACACTTGTGGGATTTCTTTCTTACACTTAAGTTTTCCTTGAATTCAATATCTAACAAAATGGGATTCCGCAATTTATCCAAACAGTCAAGAGTCCAACCAATAAATTTACAAACCCTTGGTATAGTTCTCAAATCCCATTATATTCATAGTGGAAGAATCAATAAAATTATAAACCCTGGAGAACATCAAGAAGCATAGAAATTCAAGTGGACTGTATAGAGCATGGATTCAACAATTACTTCTGTGATAAAGAAGCAGAGAAATTTACCTAGTGGTTTGAAATCCTCCAATCCTTTGTAGTAATGAACGGCAGAAGGACAGAAGGTAATGAGAAAATAGTGAGAGAGCAGAGTGAATGGCAGGCGTGCTGCTGCTGCCGCCGTTCCTTGCTGCAGATATCGATTCCGCAGTAGAATTTCTGTCTTCTTTTTTCTTTACTCTTTACCCTATTTTCGGTGTTAATGATACCATTTATGGTCAAGGAAATGAAGATACTTCCATATTTTTATTTGCATATTAGTTTTTGAGAATTAAAAAAATATTTAATCTATTTTCTCAAGATTTTTTAACTTAACTTTTTCTACACTGCATTCTGTCACAAAAATAGAAGATCCGTGTTGAATACTTCTGATTGAAAAAAAAAA